GGTTCTTTGAGGAAAGGAATACTTTTGCATACAGATCATATGACGGGTAAAGAATTCAAGAAAAGGGGAGTTGGGCAGGGCAGAAGTAACAAAGACCGAAGAGACGAGAAGAATGCTGGAAGACAGGCCCTCTGAGCACAGCATTACCCCACTTTCCAAGTGGCCTTCTCTGTCAGAAAGGAGGCTCTTCTTTTTTCCTTCCCAGAAACCCTACAATAGCTTTTATATTGTTCAGAAGTCTGGCTTCTAAGATCACAGAAGTTTTATGGGTGATGTAAAGGGCTCATCACAAACAGCCTCAGTGCCACAGGATGGATCGTTACAGGACTGGCAATCTGAGAAAAGTTACATGCCTGGCTTACATTTCAACTTTTTACTGTTCTAAACAATGACAACCAATTGAGTATTTCTGAGGAAAGTATTAGTTACGAGTCTTTAGCTTACCAATGACAGAACTTTTATGCAAATGAGCTTAACCAAAAATCCCACAAAGTCAGAGAAGTCTGACTGGCCTCAGGCACAGGCAGGATCCAGGACTAGAGCTCCGCCTTTCTGGGCCTCACTTCCCCGGAAGACAGGGGACCCTGCAGTGTGAAAGTGGCCCTACTGGACTCAGTCACTCTCTGCTCTGTCCCATGGGTCTTCTGGATGAGGAGAAGGGTGGAGTTTTGAAAACTGACCAGAGAAGTTAAATGCACCTTTATGAATACTGAGGTCCTGGAAGTCAGGCAGAAGCACTTACTTGCCATTTCGTGCAATCTAATTAATATGCACTGGCCATCTCATTTGTGAAATTCACTGAGGATGTGGTCTTGAGTAAACAAGGGTGAGTCTTTGACCTCAGATTGTTCCAAGGCTGTGAAAATGATAATAACAAATACTTTGATCTTAGTAAAGAGCCAGAAATGAGTGGAGGGAAACAGAGTGACTACCTGATCTCCCCCAGGAGGCATTCCCTGACCCAGCAAGGACAGTGGGCAACGGGATAGCATCTCTTGAATGAGCCTGCCGCCCCACAGAAACTTTCTCTCTGTGGGAATGACCTCAAATTCTCCACTGTAGAAACACATTTGTGTCTATAAGCCTGATAGAGATCTCTGGATTTGGTAATGAAAAATTCTTCAGCTAGGGTTTGGCTCTTGTTTTAGTTGCTGTCAAATGATCTGTTTATCAAAAGGAAGCTCATTCATAGGAATATGTGCCATTAAATCATTTTTCTAATTTAGAATCTTGATTCACACTGTCGCAGACTTGGAGTCAGGTGGGGGTGTGCTGGGAGCAGCTGAAGCAAACTCTGCCCAAGACCCAAGAATGCCATAGCCAAGCGATGACGTGAACAAGCTGCTTCAGCCCAGAGAACTCCAACCCCGAGGTAGTCCGATCAATGGGTTGCTAGACTAAGGCGTGTCACGTGACACCAATCCGACAAATATATAAATAAACACACTGCATTGGTTGAGCAGCTCCTTTCCTCCCATCCGGAGAGAGGGCTCCACCTGACCACAGCTTTCTGGCTTATCTTTATTTCTCCATCCTCTCTCTGTCCTTCCCTGACCCCGGAACTTTGAGAGCTGCATAGGATGCAGCAGGGATGGGGGTGGATGAAAATATTTATGACTCAAAAACTGGCATGTTTCTGAGGCAGTCTTGAGAGATGTTATGGTTAATCATTGTGACCAGATGTGTCCCTATCATATGATAAGTATCAATAATATGACTTATCGCAATAATCTCAGCAATGCTCAAAATTATGTTTAAAGGGTTCTGAGCCATGGAATTGTAATTGTGATTTCACATTTCTAGCCATTCTTTGCTCATCACTGACATAGTGCCGCTTTGGAGGTGTCACACAATATGCTGCTTCCTTGACAGTTCTGTTACTATGACGTGTTTCCTTTTCCTGTGGCTTTAATGCTGGCATTTATAGAAGGCATAAGGAACACTGATGTTTGAGCCATGTAATAGCTGGGAGCCTGAGCTGTGTAGTAGACAGATATAAGTGTGAATCCTACTTCACTGTTTCCTTGCTGCCTGTAATTTATCTTTTCTGTAACCTGGACCCTTCATTTTGTGATGAACACTGTGTTTTCTGATTCATAAGACCATTCTGGGGATTCAAAGAGGTATCTCGTTTTAAGCCACACCTTTTTTTGAAGAATAAATGGGCACCCTCATTCTCACCCCATCATCATCATCGTCTGTAGTGAGTGCTCTCCAGTCACTTTAAATGTCTTTGTCCTTTGGTACTTTTCTGTTACCCAAGTCTGTCTTTAGCAGAGCAAACTTTTCATTATTACTTCCTTATAAGCAAGCCAGTGCCTGGTCTTTTTCTTTATTACAATCAGTCAAATCTTCACAAGTTTGGGGTACAAATATAAAAAAGTTTCAAATGGAAATTAGATGAGAAATATAACAAAAATTCTTTCTCTTTGGAAAAAAGAAACCTGTTGAGTACAGATTGCAGAACTTTGTTGCTCAGGTATACCCTGCCTGGTTTTACCCGAGAATCTCCTACAATGCTTTTTTTTTTTTTTTTTAAAAAATACAGAATGTGGAACTTCATTCCAGCCCTGCAAATCAGAATCTATGAGGTTAGGCCCAGAAGCACAGTTCGCATTTTCTAAGAGCTTTTTGGATTTCTGAGATGTGTCTCCAGGATTAGACACCATTGCCCAAATGTTACTAAAGCCTCAGCATCCTGGACCATTAAAAATTACCAAAAATACCAAGCAAGACTTTTGGATAGAACCTCTGTGAGAGGTAACCTGTGACACAGTCACAGTTGACTTCAGCGCAGGCCTGAGCTGAGCAGGAGAGAATTATTACTTGTGATTTTTGGGGACAATCTTAGAGAGGCCCAAAGTAATTTCTCCGAAGTTCACAAAATGCGTCATAATTTAGTATTTGTCCAAAATATTCGCAGCTCTGCCCTACTGTGCCCTTATCTGCAGCCTCTCTCTCTTTGAGAGAAACACGTTTACTGACCTGTTGACATCTGGCTTACCCTTGCAGCTTGCTTTGGCTGATCAGTGTGGATGGAAAAGGCCTGTGTTATGTCCAAGCAGAAGCTTTATGAGTTTCTCATCTGTTGATTTATTTTTTTCTCTGTCATTGAAGTAGCATGGTTCTCTTAGTGCTTACTTCCTGAGCCTGGGTCCCAGAATGAAAAAAACTCGGAAGAGTTCTCCAGAGGCTGAGAAGAGAGGATTTGAAGTCTGAGCCAGCCTGCGCTGGTTAGTGCCTTATCAAGACTGTGTCTCAAAATAGAAAAGTGGTTAGAGTGTAGCTGTGTGTGAAGCCATGAGTTCAGAGCCAAATACTGAAAAAACAAGACAAAGCCCCAAAACTTGGCATAGAGTTGCTGCCAGCGTGCTTTACTGTTTTTTTTTTTTTTTTAAGTAGGGTCTCACTTTGTAGTTGAGACTGGTCTTGGACTCACTATGTAGCCCAAGCTGGCCTCAATCTCATTGCAATCCGCCTGCCTCAGCCTCCTAAGTACTGGGATTACAGGTGTGCACCACACACTTAGCTTTCTTTTTTGTTTTAAATCTCTAGATTCGGAGATTACTAAGACCCAGGTTACAAGTGGGAGAGTGCAGGTTGTGCATCTGCTGTTTCTATTGTTTACAAGACAGGTCACTGATTTGTGTTTGGTGGGCGAGGTTACTGTTCTGTTCCGTTGTCAAGGCTCACTGCAGGTATGTCATGCACAACTGCACTTCAGAGTTGAGATCTCCAGGATTGTTTCACTCCAGAAATGCTATGATTTTCCCAATGTTGTCCATTGCTGCTACTTTAGATTAATTTATTGAGTGATATCTTTGAAATCTATTTCTGACAATCTGTGGGAGCCACTGGGAAATAAACTACCATATATTATATTTTTATATGAAAATGTATTCTAAATTCAAGATAAAAACTACAAAAATAGTAAACTTGTGAAACAAACTTTTGATTGACCCTGGGGCTCAGGTAAAATTTAGAAAACTCAGATGACGTTATTTCCAAAAGTATAGTCTATAAAGACTGGTTGTGATTCACATTGTATCCACAGGGGGGCAGCACAAATCAGTACAGTACTTAACAATATTCTCTGGTAAGTGTGTCTGTCTATTTATTGTTAGCTTTCTGTCCCCCTCTCCTCAGGTCCAGCTTTATTGAGTTGAGGAAGTCATTTTTTAGATGGTATGTATAAAGGTAGTTACAATTGGTTTCAGTTCTTCTAAATATTTCATTGTTTAAATTTGTTTACAGTAGATTAGAATTTTCATGGTTTTTTCTATTATTTTGCAGACTAAGCATCTCAAACCAAGAGATATCAAGTAATTTTAATTAGAATCAGAATTATTGACAGTTCTTAAATTTTTTTGTCTGTTTTTCTGAGACAGCATCATCTCACTATGTAGATCAGACTGGCCTTGAACTCACAGAGATCGTCCTGCCTCAGCCTCCCAAGTGCTGGGATTTCAGGTGTGTGCCTCCATGCCCGGTCCACACACAGTTTTTAATTCAAAAACTGTTTTTTAAAAGTACCTACTTGGAAATAGAAGGATAATTATCCCTAGTAAAATTAAAGGTAGTTGTAGTGTAAAGTTTACTGACTCCCCATAGCAGGCCAGAGTTGAATTCTAGGATATTCTATTCCATTCCTCCAAAGCAGCCTGGGAACTGTCATTCTCAGTGTTTGGATGAGAAATTGAGCCCCAGAGCTGTCGGTCTGTCATAAACATCGCATGATTTAGAGGGGAAGAGCTGGCATTCAATACCACATCCCGCAGGAGCCAAGGTCCACAATTTTCCTCTGTACCACTCTGCTTTTCTCACGTTTGGCTTTGAAATGAGTTTCTACTCTGGCTATCATATTTACCATCTTGAGTTTCTTCTCAATGACATACTGTATTTCCAAAACAAACATTTATTCACACCAACTTCTATTTGCACAGGAAGCCGAAAGTCAGAAGTCTCATAATCGTCACAAAGACTTCTGGTGATCTTCCTACGGGAAAGGGAAGTTGCGGTTTGCAAGACGCGCACGCAGGAACCCCTCGGCAGCAGTTGTGGGCCGTTGGGCCACACGAAGGTGGGGAAGCCCTCGCAGAGGCAAAGCAATAAATCCTGTTCTGAAACCCTTGCGCACAAGCAAGCTGAATCAATGGGAGTCGTTTGGGTGTGTTAAATATTTGGTAGCAGTCTCTCTAAATGCCTTTCCTTTCTCCTATTAGTCAGTAGCAGCTATGTAAGCTTTCAACCACTAGAGGTCAGTGTTGCTTATGGAACAGAGCTGCTCTTTCACAGGTCAACTCAAACGTTTCTGTGTGTAGCCTGTGCAGTCTTGGAGCTTCAGCTTCCGCTGTGAGAGCTATGAACGATATAAAAGAGCCAAAACACATGGCTCCAGCCCACGAAAAGTTGTGTTTTCCGTGAGAGAGCAGAGGTCAACGTTGTGGGCAGTCATAGACTATCACAAGAGTGTGCATTCATTTATGACTAACTGCAAGTATGAAGGGGAGAGGTCACCAGGGCTCTAAAGTCTCAGAGGAGCTCCAGTAAGTTGCAGTGGCCATGGCCACGTCCACAGATTGGGAGTGGACGTGTACGAGGAGGGCAGGAAAAGATCAAGATTGTCCCAAGGAAACGTGATGAACAAGACTGAGGTGAAAATAAAGGTGGGGTTTGAATAAAGTGGAAGCTGTGTTTGAGGAAGAGCGAGAGTCGTGGCAGAAACATTGCACAGGAGCACAAAAAGCAGAGAGCCTTTGAACTTAGCTCCCTTTGACAACTGGCCTCTTACAATGTTTCAGTGCAATGGTGTGACTGAAGTGCCGTCTAAGGAGAGTAGAATGTAAGGATCCAGAAAAAGCACATACTACTTCAGAAAGAGAACCATAGCGTTAGTGTCCAAAAGCATGCCAGGCAGAGCGCATGGGAGGGCAACGCAAGCGACGGCTATCGCTGACAATTACATTTCCCTTACTGGAATGAATTTAAACATCTAGAAGCTTCCGGCTCTTTCTTTCTTGCTCTTAGGCCGCAGCCCTCCAGACCATCTCATACCAGACTCCTGGGAAGCCTGTGTGTTAAGTCTTATTTTCAGTTCCTTGAGCTTACAGTGCCACGTCCCCTGTCCAGAGCTCTCCATGGCCACCTCCATGGCCACCTCCCTACCCTGCAGGTTAACTCATCCTTCAGCTTCAGCCCAGCTGTTACTTCCCCAGGGAAGCCTTCTTGTGCCTATTCTATACCAGTCTGTTTATAATATGCTGTCTACTGGCCAGCTTTTGGCACTATAATGAATCACTGTAGGCTACCTATGTAGCAAAGAGATTTATTTAGCTCATGATCTTGGAAAGTTAGACATACAGTGTGTTTGCCCCTGTTCTTGTGAGGGCTGTTTCAGGCATGCCACATGGTGTGGGATGGCAGTGATGGGTGCACATGCACAAGGGAGCTGTCATATCTCTAACAGGAAGCTGGAGAGAGAGTGGGTGGGGCCAAACTCAGGCTTTCATAGCAGCGGTCACCAAGGGTTCCTACCGGAGGACAGTCCCGGGGAGGACAGTCCCAGGGAGGACAGTACCTTCAACTGACAGAACCACCTCCCACTGGGCTCCACTTACAAAGGTTCCATATCCTCTCCCAGGTACTGCTAACTATGGATGTTTTCTGACACATGGATCTTTCAGGGCCATCTAAATCACAGCACGCTCATAGAATCAGGTGTTTTCCCTTTATAGAACAAAGCCCTTCTCATTTATATTTTATGTTTATGTGACTGTTTGATTAACCTCTGTCACTCTTTCCAGAATGTAAATTCCACAGTACTGCAGTGTTTATCCATGTTTGCTTACTGTTCCTTCTATTCTCATCTCCATGGAGATAGAAAAGAACCATGACTTCTCTACTTGGTGTCTCTGGTGATCCCATGGAGGGGAGAGGAGCTTGTTAAGCAGAAATTTCAAAATTAAATGATGTCAGCTGAGAGGGGTCCAGTCATTTTAGAGTCACTTCAAGTTGCCCAAGAGAGACACCAGTACGTTTCACTAGCATGCCGTGCAGTTCTGAGCTGCATGTGTTCTATTTCTTGTAAGATGCAGAAACAATAGTATTGTAGAACCTGTTACAATGGAGTGTTATGGAACTATGGTTGTTGTACCCAGGAAATGGGTGTAGTTTTTCTAAGAGAGTTCAAGCCATTCTGAGGACATTTGTGCAAATAATCAGGACTTCTACTAAAATGACTCTGTAAAATCATTAGAAATTGCTGGCCGAGGTTTACCAATTTTGCCTTTCGAAAAAGAGGTCCATATGGCAGCCTGGGGCAAATAGTTTGAATTACACTTGTAGTTGTAAGAGTCAAATTCATACTGTTAGGCAAGTTTCTAGCTAAGTCTTTTTGTCATGTGGTTGAGATAACCCAACAAGCATTTTGTGTGGTGATGATGGGATTTCCCTGTGTCCCGCCAAGTTTATGAGTAACTCATGTTGATGTCTTATGAATGACATGAATTGTTTTCTTGGCTTTATGCTAGTAACTCCCTCCTAGTAAACAATGAGTTAATCAATGACCTCACACAGCTAAGATTGTATTTAGGTCAGAATAGTTATGATAAATGACCTTATTTACATTTATTTGCTCTTCTGAGTCTTGAGTTATGCTATATTGTGTTTTTAAGAGATGATCAAACCATATTTCTAGTTTCACGTGCTTTTTCATGACATTGTCATACCACATGAATCGAGCTCTTTTACCATTAAAGTTGGGTGGCATTTTAAAGCTAGCTCAACAAATAGACTGTGGTACAACTGGCCCTGTATGACCTACAAAGATAGGTCCAAAATGTATTGTGATTTCTATGTGTTTACCGTCTGTCAGGATATTCTCTCTTGGAACCAAGTCACCATGTTTCAGGGAAGGTTAAGTCACAGGAGCAGGGCAGAGGCAGGTTTACCAGCCACTGACCAGCTGAGGGCTCTGCCTACTAACAGGACCAGCATGTATATAAAGGAGATTTGCATGTATTCTTGACCGTAGCCTGCATGCTATTCCAGATGATTCCAGACAGAGAGTAGCTGAGCTATTTTTACCAAGTCCTTTTCACTTAAAAGTCTATGAAGGAAATAACCATTGGTATAGGGCACAGAGTTCTTGACTAGGGTAACTAGAGAAATAGGTTAAAACAGGAAAAATAAAATCTTTTTATTTCAGCTTGACTTTTGCTTTTGTGGATGCTATTTCTTAGGGCTAAATATGTCCTACTTTTTTTGGAGGGTTTGTTTTTTTCCCTCACAATTTTTTTTACTTGTCTGACCTTAAGGCTTATCCTTCATGAAACAATTCAGGTGTAAATTTCCACAGAAGTCTTTAGTCAAGGACCCTCCTTGTGTGTTACCTTTGGTAGGTCTCAGCCAAGTGTGGTATCAGGATTCACTTAAATGTTTGTTATCTGCTCCAGTCAGTACATTCATCTCTGTAGTGCTCATCTCTGGATCATTAATCTTTGTATTCTCTGGGACTACACAGTGTCTGATTCTACCACCTACTATCTTTGTGAACTCTGTTAAGAAAACTAATGCCTCTCAGACTCCCTTTTCTTATCTGGAAAGGAGATAAGAGACAGTAATTCTTAGAGCTGTGAAAATTGAAGGAAAAACCATCTAAGTTGCGGTGCCTAGTGAATACTACATAAATCGAGCTACTGTAATTACTAGAGTAACAGGAAAATAGCAGAAAATAGCATTCAAAAACCAGATTGAACAAATATTATTGTAAAAAGAGTCCTTGACCTTATTTTTCTGCTATTCTGATGGTCAGCATTGAATTTATTACCTTTTCTCCACCATATAATTTTCTTTATACACTGCTCTCAGAGGATGCCAGGTACAGTTTAGAAAGGTGACACAGGCTGGATTGATGAATGAAGGTGTAAACTCATAGCAAAGACAAAAGTCTTGAAAGTCAAATGCTTGAGGTAGATAATATGTTTTAAAGTTCAGTGACTTGGCTTTGGCATTAGAATGAATTCTCACAGTTAACAAGGTATAAAGATTTTCCTCCCAAATCCACAGGGTGTATGATGTCAGGGTTGTGGGGAGACCCCCAAATCTTGCCCACTCTCTCTTCCCCACTTCTCAAACAAAAAGGAACTGATCTTCTCACAGTTCCATGGCTTACCTGGAGGAGAAATCTACTAGAAGACCTTATTTATCATGAGATTGGAATAGTAGCCTAGCCATATGGAGACTGAAGAGAGAGATATTGGACTTGGAGGAGCATGGGGACAAGACCAGGAAGCTATGGTAGCTGTGTGTGTGTGTGTGTGTGTGTGTGTGTGTGTGTGTGTGTGTTGGTAATTATTGTCAGTATCTGTCAGTCTGGGACAAGCACCCTTTATAAAGATTCATAGCTCAGCAGATACCATATATTATAATAGTTATATTGTATTTTGCTATGACTCATGTAAATTTCCAGGTGTGAGTGGATAATTTAGGCAGAGCCTCCTTCTTTGTTCAGTTAATCCTGCTTAGAATGGCAGGGATCTTTCAGCCCCCAAGTGAGCTGTCAGCATAGTTACATCTGGGTGGAGTGGTTCTCTGGAAGCTTGGTGGATTGCGACCTCGCCACTGGCTGTTGCTCGCTGACAGTCATCCCAGTAACTTGAGTCCCTTGGATATAGCTTTCCGGGAGTCTAAGCCACCCCTCCCTAAGAAGCCCGTGGCGGAAGCTCCCACTCCTGGAGGCTGCTGCCTGGTCAGGACTTGCAAGTCTCAGCAGTATCAGTCGTCTTATCGCTGTGATCTGGAAGAGCACATGCTGTTCTCCATGATCTTGGCAATAGCCTTTATGAGAAAATTTTGTGCGAGTTGTCTTTTCCAGTTATAGCTAAGCACAGGGTCAGATTCTATTTTGCATTCAAGATTCACTGATGAATGTTACAGAGTTTGCCCTGTTCAGAGATAAAGTGCTCTAAATGCTGATAAATCTTAGGTAACTTGGAGGGGAAGCATAACAGGGTAGCAGTCCTGAGAAGGGACGTTGATCAAGGTGCTTAGGTTTGTGTCTTACATTCAACATTTACTAGACCTAAGATCACCCAAAGTATTTTCCTGCTGTTCTTCAGTTTCCTTCTTTCTTTTTTTTTTTTTAAATAAAATAGGTCACAAATTTGGATTTGGGAACTAAATGAGAAAATGTATTCACAGCACAATACCTCATGAGTTCCTAATGAATCATGGCCTTGTCATCTTGTTTGTTATTGCTACCGGAATTCACAGTGGCAGAAAATGTTGGTTGGCCACCTACAGACTTTTCCTGCTGCTCTGTCTTCCTTGTAATCAGAGCACTGATTTTGTACATTCATCTGGAAACTGCATGTTAATAAAATTTTATTGAATTAATTCCTTATTAATAAGCGGGTTCCCTCTATCTCTGAACCTTTGGGAGCTTGCGTTTTTCAATTCACCTGAAGCCGGGCATGCCCTGTGATCTGCTGTGGCTGGGAAATACGACAGGTGCAGCCTGTCACCTCTACCAGTGGCTCACTGGATGACAAAAGTCTTGGGCGAGGACAATGGATACAGAATGTGTGAAGAGCAAACTCCATGAATCTGTATCACATTGCTATTTTGTATGGTAATAGCAATTTGGCCACGTAATTTTTTTTTTTTAGTTTTAGTGACAGGGTCTCCTATGTCGTGCTGGCCTGAACTTCAGCCTTCCAAGTGCTGGGAATACAGAGCCTGTGAATTAATTTTTTAATTTAAATTACATTTGCAGAAATTATTTTTTAACCGCTGTTTTTTTTTTTTTTTTGGAAAATTCCTAGAAATTATTCTTAATTTTCTTATTGTTTCAATGCTGGGAATTGAAACCTGAAACTTAGGCATGCTAAGCACATACTTTACCACAGTACCACATACAGTCTGGGTCTCCTGATATTTACTGAACTGTAGTTCATACCAAGCTACACTGTGTTTAGCTTTTACCTTTGTGAGATTTAAAGAAATTTTTTTCCTAGCTATTATTTTTAGCAAGCTCGATTTGCGAAAATTTATAGTTATGATATAAAATTTATACCAAAATTTATTGTTCTAAAACCTAGTAAGAAAATATTAAGTCTATACTATCCTAATCTACAATAAAAGATTATTAGAAAGGAAACAAAATAAACTCTGAGACCAGAGTTTACTAAATCTGTTATGCCATTTGGAACAAGTTATTTAATTACCTTGTATTTTACTGCTTCATCTATAAAAAGGGATATTTCAAACTGAGTAAATGTATGGGCTTAACTAATATTAATGCTATTTTATTTGATTATATATAGTATAATTGTTCCATTCCCATGGCTACCAATCCAATTTATTACCAATGTATTGATAATAAAATAATGGTTATAGGCTATAAAATCTTGAGTAGAATATCTGTGTTTTTTCAGTTAATAATGTTAATTAGACCAGCTGTGGTGACACCTGCCTGTAATCTCAGAACTTGGGAGGCTGAGGCAGGAGGGTTGTCAATGAGTTCTGGGCCAGCTAGGGCTGAGTAGTGAGTTTAAGGCCAGCTTGAATTATGGAGTGAAACCTTGTCTCAAAAAATTAGTTGTATGCTCTTTAAAGCATTATATTTACATTTTTAAAAACCTGTTGGAAATATCTGAATAATTGCCCACACATATTTTAGGATTATACTATGTCAGTTCAATTTTTTCTATGCTGTAAATTTCTTTGTATTGTGAGTCTTACTGAGGAAAAAGCAAACAGCAGGTCACAGTGCAGAGTTAAATAGCAGTGGGTTCTGGGCCAAGAAACAGGGAAGGAAGAGTACCATTAAAACCTCCTACTGCAAAAGCAAAACAAAACAAAACCTCCTACTTCCTCTTTCACATACATGTTCATCTTCTACCCAGCGAGCTCTACTATTCATTTAATTTTTAGTCCGTTGTCTACCTGGTAGTAGCCGAGTGCCCTCTATATCCTAGATCCTACAGATAAAACAGGAAAGAAAGGACAAATCCCAGTCTAAATGAGTTTATACAAGGAAATGTTGTCATAAGCATTAAGCTTTCTAAATAATTACTTAAAAAAGATGGAAGATAGGCAAAACACACACACTATATATGTATATATGTATGTACGCACACACACATAATATATATGCTCTGGGGAAAAAGTGCTCAGTATTGAGCAAAGAAAAAGGCGGTAAGATCAGCAGTGCCTGGGTGTGCACGGGGAAGGCCTCCCTGGCATGTGCTCAGGAACCTGAAGGAAGAAAACAAGCGAGACTAATGTGTCTGTAGAAAATAAAAGTTGTACAAAGACCCTGAGGTTGGGGATTGCTGGTTTATCTGCGGTAAACCAGTGATACACAGGCTGTAAGTCCTGTGGGCACCCTGGGCTCCCCTCCGTTGTACGGCATGGTGACGGTGCTCTCAGGCAGTTCAATGACCTGAGCAGGAGCTATGACTGTTTGTCTCCTGACCCGATAGCTGGATGACTTTGGGAAAATTTTAATTTTTTCTCTTCCTTGCTGTTTTCTTACCCATAAAATGGGATGAACATGCTACCTATTACTGAGATTAGAAAAAGGATCAAAATATATCCATAAAGTATTTAGAGTGGTTTCCTGGAACCTATTAAATGCCATGGAAATGTTTGCTGTACACATAAGTTAATATATTCAAACAGTGTCATCTCTTCATTTTAAAAACAAAAAAGGATAAAAATGATACAAAATTAAAAAAATAGGAAATTAACACTAGTTAATAAATTGCTTATTGTTATCTTGAAAGTAGTTGTTCATATTACAAGATTTAGGCATGAATAACACGATCAGACAATTAGACAATGAATACACTAACTGTTCTTTTTGATGAACAGGGATTAGTACTATAGTTATCTATCTTGTATACATTTACATACACACAATTATGTATATATACAATCTTTCCCCTTATTTCTATTCTCCTTTCCCTTGTAGGGTAGACTTACTGTGTGTCTTAGAGGTTGTGGGAGGGAAATTCAAGACAGAAGCATTAAGACCTGCTTGGAAATGAATTCTTTGTGACGATATTGATATAGACCCAGATTTGGTAACAAAGCAATGATTAGGCTTGCAGTATGTTTAAAGGGAAAATTGATGGACTATGAGTAGGTACGAGAAAAATAGAAGAGTCAAAGCTATCTTTGAGTTTTGTAGCCTGAGTTACTGGAAGAACAAAACTGCCATTTGCAGAGGAAAGACTGTAGGAAGAGGAGTGGAGAGCAGCCGATTCAGGAAAGGCTGTGTCCTCTGACGAGGAATTGCATCGATCCCGAGTGCAGACCATCTAAATGCTCAATAAATTTTAAAAAGATAAAACTCCTGGTACTGTGTGTTCAAGACAGTTAGAGAGCAAGGCGGCCAAGTAGGTGTGGACATTGGTTGGGCATGGAAATCACAAATAGTTAAAGGCACTTCATCTAGGGCGGTTTAGGAGCTCAGTGATGAACTATGAAATAGTGAGCCAGAGTATTCCTGAGTGTATGCTGAGTAATATTTCAGAGCTCATTTATAAAATGGAGCTCACAGAAAATGAAAAATTGGCAAACCCCTGGAGGTGTGGTACTGCCAAATAGGAGAGACAAAAAATAGAACATTCAATAATCTGCACCACCAACCGTACCATGATGAATGGACACCCTTTTAACTCCCAGTTGTTAAACTTAGTGGAAAATGTGTCATTTCCAAAGATGAAGGAAAAGTTATAGAACAAGGCTTATAATGCTAAATATAGAATTTTTGATATAACTGGAATTATATAGTTTTGAAGTCTAAACTAGTATTCAGATAAATAGAGGTAAGGAAATTTGTTCTTTTGAGAAAATATATGAAGACAGCAATTGATGCCAAATTGTTTTGTCAGATCTAGTGTTATTTGCAAAGTTTTCCAAAGAAAGCCTACTTCATATTAAGGAAAATTAATTCATCAATATATATTTATTTGTAATTGACATTGCTATGTACTTACAAAACAGACTGGAAAGATGAAGACTTTTTGTGATTTCTCATAATTATCACTTGTATTTATTTTCTATCTGAATACAAAAATTCCTTCTGCAGCTCTAACATCCTTTTTATCTACATTTTGATGATACCAGGAATTGTCTCATATTATGAACAGCAAAACAATCCAGAGAAAGATAATCATAAAAATTCTCAACATACATGGACTTACCAGGAGCTGTATCACTGATGACAGCATCACCAGACATCAAGAATTTAGAGTTATTTATAGATTCTTACGATAATAGTGACAAATCTTTTTTTTTCCAGCAAGCAACGTGAGCTATGTGATAAACCAGGATGGGAGCTTACCCAGTCCTTACGTGGCTTAGATGGTTCAGAATAATCATCTGACCAGTGAAGCCAGCTGGCTCCATTGGTGGGTCACTTTTGCTGTCACTAGCACCTTGGCCATGATAAACAGTTTCATGATGTCTTTCAACAGAATTTACTTCAATCGTGCCATTTCCTGGAGCAAAGATGACCACCTTCGCTGGGTTTGAACACACGCATCTCTGCTTGGCCCACAGGATAGTGCCAGTACTGCTAATTTGATAGATTTTCTGGAGGAGCAAATGCAAGAGGATGACGGGTTGGATGAATTTTTATTAGGATGAAATCTAGAGTTTAAAGCAGGTTTGTTCCACAGCATTGCCTTGGTGATGGGTAGACTTTGCATCCTTTGAAGTTAAGCCTGTTAGACCTTGGCTTTGGCTTGTTGTCACCATTATAACCAATTAGAACAAGTGCTACTGTGTCAAGTTTATTGCCAATTTCCTTAGTGTAGCTGCTGAATTCCTTCATGATCTCCTTCTGTCTCTTCTGGGTGTGGGTGACTCAGTGGAAACTTTATGAACACCAACACACAGTTGCTTCACATTCAGTGAATAAGAAAAAAGGGCATGCTCATGGGTTTGACCATATCAGCTTCTGTTTCAGAAATATCAATAGTACGGATGAGGACAGGACAGTTATCCTGGGAAGTGCCTGTAATGCTGTTTTTGATAAATGATAGTCATATACTTTTCTAATCTTAAATTTCTAAAGGGAAATGCCAGGCTTGTGTTAAGCTTTCAGTGTAGCCAAGAATTCATGTACACTGGAAAAAGCTTTTTCCCAGTAGTTTCCTTCTCAAAAAACTTTTTGGTGTTTTTTTTTTTTTTCTTTTTTTTTTTTAATGAATCATATCACATTTGTACACTACTTGCAGTACTTGTGAAGTCGCCCCAATCTACATGATCAATGATGCCAATATTGATAAGTCTTTTACTTTCTCATATTGATTTTGATTTAGCCATGGTTTTCACAATACCTCTGTTATGATAGCGAAAAGATCCTTTTTTTCTATTTCTCTTTTCCTAGTCTTCTCATTTTTTTGCCTTTGCCTTCTTATCTCTTCCTTTTCTTTTAAAAATATTTTCACACAAACCCTAGGTAACATAGCATTTCAATTTCAATGAAGTTTATTATTACTACTAAAAATATAACCCTTGTGTAACTACTCTTTTAGACCAGAAGAAACTTAATATTTTACTTGGAAAATTTAAGGGCTTTTCCCTTTTAATACCCAAGAGTGAGTGGCTGAGAACAAGGGTATATAAGTTGCAGAAAAAAAAGAGAAGTTATTTCTTTACACATACCCTTTTCTGGGGTGAGGTAGTGGGAAGCAAATTCATGACCTCGCACTTGCCAGGCAGGCGCTTATCCCACTGAGCTAAACGTCCAGCCCCATGCACTCGTACACATGTCCTTTTAATGGACAAAATTTGTTCAGTTGCTCCCAGTATAGCAGATAATCTGACACCAGCAGCTTAAATGAGTAGACAGTTGGTTTCGACTCACAGTCTGAGGAGTTTCAGTTCTTGGCTGACTGGCTGTAAGGGGGAAGCATCATGGTGGACGTGCTTGGTAGAGGGAGACTGCTCAGTTCACGTCAACGAAGAAGCCGAGGGCAGAGGTAAAGTCTAGAGGAAGATGCTAGGGACCAGACATGTTCTCCAAGATCACTCTGCTGTGATTAAACCAGGCAAACCCAGAAGTGTGCTTTACTAATCACCCAGGCATTTGCCAAGTCAATCACATCCACAATCAAGATTAACCATCACGTATATCTACTAAGTAATTCATACGACTTTTCTTCATTGAAATAGTTATGATACAAGCGAAGTTTTCTTTTCGTGTTTTGAAAGGCAGCTAGAGATTAGTTGATTTGGAAATCTTGAAGAACATTTTCAATCACTATACGTAGTATGGATATTTACCATATTTAAAAAACCTTACAATGTAAATACAGAAACATCAGGAATTTTTGGAGCATGTAAATTAATGGCAGATTATATGAACACATCTCTACACATGTAGATATAGATGTATCCATTCTGGGGTCATTCAACTTATTGACCATTTTATGAAAGGTAAGGATTCTATCTACACAACTGAACTCACCAACAAAAATTTGCACGTATTTTGTTGATCCCCTTAACAGGATTATGCTTCTAGCATGCAGAAACAATTTTCATCTCCATTTTTGGCTTTGCATGTGTTTTGATTCTATGTTAATGGATTCACATTGGTATCTGCTTTGCTACAAGTTTAAGTATAGGGATATCTTTTCAGTAATGCTGAAGAATGTTTGTTTCTAAGAAAGCCTCTCCTGCTTGGTACCAGCCACTCTGTATTCTACATGCCAATTCAAACAACTGTCTCCCCTTCTAACCTATAAATCTATCAAGGGTAGAAACAGTCTAATTTATAGGAGAGTCTTCAGCCTTTATGACCATACCTATCCTCCATAGGCTATAAATACTTACTTTTTGAATTTGAATACACATGAGCGAAGTATTGTTCTCATTAAATACTCAAGGCTGATGTTAAATTCAGTGATTGCCCAAAGTCAAAGAGCTAATAAGTGACATAATGGATATGACATTCACTGCTGCTGGTTCTGGGACCAAGACCTTTCCAGGATGTGACCTGCAGAAGTAAAAGAATGAGCTGAAGAACAAGGCATAGGGAATGCATGAATTTTTGTCAGAGACAAGTTGTCAATAGCTTGAATCTGACCAAGAGGATGGGGCAGGACTGTGCAGTACCCTATGATATGGGTCTCTAAGGGCGAAAGGAAGGGAAATTGGAGCTAGAGAGAGGCTTCCAGACAGCAAGGCAATAAATATCTCAGGGAAACTCTGATTCATGCTTCAAAACAATGGCACATTTACCATTATAGAACAGTGATTCAAAATTAAAGTGTTTAATTTATAGTTACAGAATAGTGATTCAAAATTAAAGTATTTAAGGATGTGTGATTATTTGAATCTTAGTGTTTTTGTCTTCTTTAAGAAAGATTTCTGGCTTGCTGAGGTTATCAGAGTGCAAACCTAGTTAATTGGTTCACTGGTTGGCCCCAGTTAAATATTCTTATTGGTTTATGTCACCCCATCTGCTTCCCTTGCAATCACCAGTTTACAAAAGAGATTTCCTTAACATCATTTATTCATTTCATATGTACATTTCTATAACTTATGTGGAATAAATCATGTTTCCTCTTGTTTTTTAAATGAGATGTTGATTGTTTGTGGAAATAAAAATTGGACTTGATATGTGTTGTCTTCACCAACATGTACTACTCAACTTTATTGATTTAGGATGATCACTTTATGGTGAGTGGCATGGAAGACCTAATGTGTCTGGCTTGGTAAGTGAAAACAAAACAAAACAAAACAAAACAAAACAAAAAAAAAAAAAGAAAAGAAGAAAAAGAGAAAACTTTTGAGTCACTGATCTGTCTTTACAGTTTATCTGAGTTTTTAAACCATTGGTTTGCTGAAACTTGCTACATTTCTCAGAATAGAAAACATACCAGTAGAAAATCTGAACATACTACCATATAGCACAGACAACTTTGAAATAGAAAACATTGAAGAGATAATGTCCAGATAGTAGTTCAACTTTTATAGAAATTCCAGTAATTTCCTGTTTTGAGGATCCATGAAATATGCAGGAAAGTTTTGTTTTTTTTTTCACTTTGGCTGAAAAATGTTTTTGGTTTTAAAAATCTTTTCAGCTTTCTTGGATGATTTATTTTGAAGTCCTCCTTAAGAAAGCATTAGGAGAAAAGCATTAGGAAAATATTTTTAAAGAGTCTTACCCTATATTTCCCTGAGGCATTTAATATTCTCTTTAGCTTTCTTGTTAAGTTTTTAATTTTTAGAGAAGTGACTGCTGATAATAAACAGTCTCCCTTTCAAACACCAGTAAGTGGTATTTGTGAAATATCTTTTATATGTAGTTATATTTATAGTATGGGACTATAAATAAATTTGTCCTTTGGGTTGGGCTAAGATGTATATGAAGGGTCATCAAAATGTACAGTGAGTGTTTCACCTTAAAATTTATTACAGTAAAAGGCACTTTGCCGTTAATCCCCTGTAAGATATTCCCACTCACTTGGAACACCCTTATCTCATCATTCTTGCCACTTTCTGAAGCAGTTCTGGATATCTTCTTTCATGAGTGTCTTTATGAGGTGTGATGAAAAATCCAGTGAATGCCGCTGCCCCGTGCCATCCAGTGGAAGGGCGGGCTTGTAAAACACATTGCACGTGCCTCGTCCACTTTATTCACTGGTTCTGGCACCACAAAACTTCTGGCTTTTTTCCAAAATCAAAATGCACATGAGTTTTATATTGATTCAAGACATTTAGGCAAAAGTTTTATATTGATTCAAGACATTTAGGGAACCATAACAGCAAAACCAAAGACATTAAAGAGAACTTTCTGCTCCTCAGAAAGTGGCAAGAATGACTGGAAAATTGTGTTCCCAGTGAGTTCACATATTTTGCAAGGGGTTAATGGCAATATGTCTCTTACTGTTATAAATGTTATTTTTCAGTCATACCATGTATAGTACTTGGAGGGAAGGGTCTTTATTGAAGGTATGTCATAGGAGGTAGATTACAGATTTGTTTCTTATACCACCTTCTTATACATGAGATTATTGCTGTTGCCTTTCTAAGGAAGATGCTTCTTTTTAAACAGGTGAATATTGACAAGCTTTAATTGTACATGTTATTGGGGACCAGGTGATGCTACAACACAGATATGTAATGTGGGATGAGTAAATCAAGTTAATTAAAATATCTATCCCCTGAAATACTTGTGGTTCATTCCTTGTGATTGAAACATTATACCTTTGACCAACATTTCCTCTAGCCCTAAGGGTCTGAAAAACACCATTTTGTTCTCTGATTCTATCTGTTCTGGTGGTTTTTATTTGTTTGTTTGTTTGTCTGACAAAGTCTAAAAGTCTATGTAGTTCAGTCTGGCCTTGAACTCAGTATGTAACCCAGACTGGACTTGAACTCATGGTAATCCTCTTGCCTCAGTCTCCTGAGTGCTGGGGTTACAGGTGTGTGCCAGCACTCCTGCCTATGTTCAGAATTTTTTTTTTCATTTGTGTTTGGTGGTGTTTTTATGTTTTTCTCATTTGTTTCATTTGTTAAAACACATGGTAGAAGCTATCACTTCAATAGATATGGGACTCTGATGTCCTGTATACATATCACAACATTAAAGGCAAATTTTTAAAACTAAGGAAAACATAGTTAATACAATAGTTAATACAATGTGTAAAAGTAAAAAAATAATCAAGGTGTTTTCAAAGATTCAACATGATTCCAAAGATGCATCAGGATTCTAAGGTTGACCTAAAAATAACATTTTTTTTATAACTTGGAAGACTGTAAAATTAAATGGCATAATTACTTTGCCAGATTAGCTGGCTAACACCAGATTAGACAAGGGTACCAAGGATAAAGAACACAGGACTTGTGTTTATTTATTTATTATTTGGTGTCCCTGAAGCAAACTGTGTGAGAAAGGGGAGCCATGAACAATCCAGAATCTGCAATTTTGCGTGGAGAGCAAACACTGGGCTGAGGAACCTAACAATCACCTATGTGATGCTGATCCGAAATTCAGCCTGCAGAGAAGGTAGATCTCAACAAAGGGACAAGTGCAATTTGAGTGTGTCCTAAGGATCATGAGCCCTGTGTTGACTCTAGCAATGTCACTACCAAATCGGGAAGGTGAAAATGGCGTTACAAAAGGCTTAGTTGAGTAGTATTAAAAATAGAGGATTGGTGATGAACTGAGACAAAGACAGCTTCTCATATAAGATGCTGAGATAATATACACGTGCCAATCACTGTCCCGTCACTGGAACAGAATAGAGACACCGCTGCAACCTCAAGGACTAGAGGTTTACTTAGGCTCACAGTTTTGAGAGGATTCAGCCTCTTGGTTTGCTCTAAGACGAAAATGGGATAGCAGCAGCACAGGGTAGAATAAATTTGCTTACCCCATGGCACTCAGGACGCAAAGGAGGAAGGAGTGGAAGATGCAGAGACTGGAACACAGCCCTTCAGGTCACACCCCAAGTGACTCCAACTGGCCACAGCTCCTAACAGCAGATGGACTACTGAACTCATCAGTGGGTGAATTCACCGATGAGTGTAGAGCCTCCATGACCCAGTCACTTTCGGAAAACATGAGACCTTTGTAGGCCATGTTAGAGTTAAACTGTAGCAACATTTGAAAGAAAAGGAGATCTTTGTAAGAATCCCAGAGGAACTGACACCGTGCTAACCACTCTTCTAATTCCTTTTTAAAAAATTTTATAAAATTCCTAAGATGAGCCTGTGAGCGGGATCCTATTCTCAACCCCTTGTTACAGAAACAAATATTGAGGCTTAAAGAAATTGAGTAACTTTCCCAGGGCTTATAACTGGCAAATAGCAGAAATAGGATTGAAACGCAGGGTAGGGCAAGGCAGTCTTAAATATTCAAGGGGAAAAATAATATGAAAAGGGACTCTTTTTTTCAAAAATCATTTGTAGCTCTAGAGAGAGAAATAGGAATTAATAGGAAATTAGAGTAAAAAGGTCAATTTCAGTGTATCATAAGGAAGGGTTTCTGAAGTTTGGAAGCAACCCAAAGAGAAAAGAACTTGTTTGTGAAATAGTGACCTTTCTGTTACTAGATACATTCGAGTGGAGATAGGCACATAGCAGAGATGCTGCAGTGGGATTTCAGATTTGAGGAAGAATATTAAACTATGTGACCTTAAAATCCTTATGACTTAAATTATTATCCTGAGTATCCTGAACATTTGAGTTTGAGTGTATTTTGGGGCCTTCAAAGTAAAAGTTAATCTTTAGATAACTCTAGTCTTTGTAGGAGCCAAATAAAAAGGGAAAATATACGCTTAATGTAATAAAAAGGTAGAAAATTACTAGTGTATGAGGAAGAGTAAACTTTTTCATTGCTCTCACCTCAGAGAACAATTGAACACAGTATTCTGCATTTATCTGTTAGGCTTCGTTAATGCAGGAAGTATAAACAGTACTTTAAGTGATTTTATAATATAAATATTATCAGTCTCATTTTCATTCATATTTTTGTTATTGAGTATCATCACCATTAATTGGCATGTATTGTCTAGTTTTTGACACATATCTAAGATTCTCTGGGTGTAAGAAACATATAGTCTTTGAAATTCATCCATTTGTAATACATTTGTATCTTAACTCAAATTCAATAAAATACACTGTTGAATTCTTATGAGAATTAAGTGTAAATTTAACTGCAAAGCTATAAGAACTAAGAGTTTCCAACTCATTAAGATACTTAATACCCACAGTGACACCCATAGCTTCAGCAGATGGAAGAACAAAAATACTTGTCTCATAATTATTTGTTAGATATGTTCTCTGAATAAGATCCCCTTACTGTCCATGAAAATTTCTCTTACCCATTTACATTAAAGGTATTGGAGAGTGAAAAACATTTAAATGAAGCATGGGATAACTTTGCAAGACAGAGACAAGAACAATTCATATTAGATCCTGCTTAGTTGAGCACAAATAGAATAGGTAGAAGCCATAAAATTAGACAGAACCTCCATCTCAAAAAGTTTACTGTCTAATACAGGATCATCAAATGGACCAATAACTAATAAAGGACAATATATTATATAATATTGTAACTGAGGTATAAACAAAGAAAAGTTGAGTTCACAGGGGAGAATGCTTTCTTCCTCTTTGGAATGAGAAACAGATAAGGCTTTGTTGAAAAATGATTCTTGGTAAAAGGGTGGGGTATTTACAGATTTAAAAAAAAAACAAGGAGAAAAGGTGTACCAGGCAGACAGATGATTAAAGGCAAGATGATAGGCAAGTGTGAGTCAGTTCTGAGAAAATGTGCCAGTTGGAGTGGAGCACAGGCATTTGAGGCAGTAAGGATGGGAGATAGTGCTGGAGATGCAGCTGAAGCCAAGTATGGTGGGTCACCTGTAGCCACTGGGGGTGCACCTCTTTTCATGAGTGACAGTAGGCCATTAAAAGGAATAGAATCGAGGGATGGCAAAATCATAGGGCTGCCTGACGTTCTGTGCAGATTATGGACTGCACGATCTCATGGTACCATTCACACTATGGACTTGTAGATTTCTATAGATATAATATGACTATGTTTCAGTCATTGTAAAGATGTTACATAATGACAGGTTTCCTTATAGATGGAAGACAAGTGTCTTGAAGATGGAGTATATCATATGGGATTGTGGTAGCCTGGGACAGTCTTCCTCTAGAACTACAGCTCATAAAGCACAAGATAGGACTGAACGTTATAGGGAGAGAGTGGAGATTTGACAATAGTTCACACAAAACAGGGGTATTTACAGTTTAGAAACAAGGGTATTTAGTTTAGAAGAGAGATTGAAGAATCTATGCAGGAGGAAATGGAAAAGGACTCGTGTGTCTTCAGAGATGGTTGACAGATAATGGCAAACAGGAGATCGAAAAGTGAGAAAGGGGACCTACTGAATAATGGCAGAGAGGAGGGGTTCAGTTCTGAGCACACAGGGGAGCCAGAGGTAGTGGGTCAACCTGTAGGTGGAAATATCAAGCATAAAATGCTGGTCTTCAGGGTGTGGCAGGAGACTGGCTGGAGTTATTCACATAAATGTGATTACAGAGCCTCAGCAAGTTCATAACAGGAGAGCTGGTAGAGTAGGGCGTGAGCAGAACATGAGTGGCGATCCTCTTGCTTATCATACTGGACTCTCTAACACCAAAAGAATTAGGAATAAATCTTGCAAAAGAAGGCTGTCTTCTTAATCATGTGGTTGTTGGATAGCTGGTTTCCTTTCCAGTTACTGCCAACCATCAAATGCAGTCAGAAAGCCAGATTTTATACATAAACACATCATTTTTTTCATTATAAGATTAGATAAGAGTGAGGGCAAGAGAGGCTTTCTGACCCAAGGCAGAACCATTGATGACTTGGTAATGTTTTAAGGGTGAAATGGAAGCACATAAATCAATTATAAGTTCAATCAACTCTTCACTCACACACACAAAATAATAGCAAAACCCCCCTGAAAGCACTTTTATTTGACCCTCTCATGCCATACACAAAATGTGACTCCATATTTTCATTTCGGTGTTTTTCTTAATCTGATACTAAAATTAACTTATACTGCAGAAAAGCACAAAATTAATGATAAGGAAAGTGGTCAAGATATGTGCTTGATGGTAGAGAGCAATTCTGAGATGAAAATATTTGCCTTGTGTAAGTCTTGTATATAAAGAATGAGGGTTTATTTTATGGCTATCTTCAGTTTCTCTTCTCATATTTTATGCTGTCTGGCAGACAGATCTGCTGGGATTAGTACTCTCTTACTTACCTTGTTATGATAACCCAGAAGCCCACAATGTATCAGAATTTCATGTTATATAGAAGTTGACTATTAAATCTTCTTTGTCTCTTTTGCTCATAGATATGCCTTCCACATTTTATGCAATTTTTACAGACATAAGGGTCCAGTCTAGGCAGAGAGTCATAAAAATATTCTGTGCTTTTTTTGTCTTCAGGGAAGTTAAAAAGAAAAGCAATAGTCAGATTATCTTCAGCATGTTACTAATGTATCTTTAAAAATCTCCACTATAACTATACTTTCTGGGTTTTTGGACTTCTTGGAGAAGTAGAAAAGTTGTATGTGCCAGCATCTCCAATTTGGTAGAAAATATTTTGATATTATATTAATCTATTTGGAATTTAATATATTCATGACCTCATTTATATATAGTTTGACTTTTTTGATATTTAATTTTGTAGCTGATATTCTCACTGATATAGAATGACTTTTAAAGGATGTAGTAAGCTGTATTTAAATGTTATTAGCTTATTAGGATGATTAAACATTTTATTTGAACTTTTATCTAAAAGTAGGAATATGTAACTTATTACAGAACTGTCAATTTAGAGAAATATTTATAAGAGAAAATCAAGGAAGAACACCTTGGATCTTCATAAATAGGGCTTGAGGAATGTAATATTTATGAATTTAATTGTACTTTTAAAAATCTAGTGGTTGGAAAAAAATCTCTGTGAATAAAGCTGTTCACTTTTAAGTGGGTTGGTTATTTAAATATTTATATTTGGACAATCTCGTTTTCTCTTTCATTTCAAAATTGTTCTAAATTATCCAATATTTTTCTGTTTTATTGATTAAAAGATATGCCTAATCTCATATTATTTAAAAAAGAATGTATTCAACACAGCATTTCATAAATAATAGAAATATGTGAAATGATTTTTCCTTTGATATTGTGAATTTTCACTTAGAGAAACTAAGACAACAAACCTGCATACTAATCTACACTTAAATATATCACTTAGACCTTTGAATTAAAGATATCCTGAGCAGTATTTTGTCAGGAATATGTATAAGCACTCAGTTAATACAGTTTACTTGGCTGGTTTGTTATAAATACATACTTATGGTCATTTTTTAAAGAATGTAAGTCAGGTAAATTAAAAAAAGAAAATTGCCCCTGCACATGAGCCAGTCAGAGCATGAACTGAGGGGAACCAGGAGGGAAGGAATTCCCCGACCTGTGAAGCAGATGGAACGCAGTCTACGAAGAATCAGGAAGGCTTCTAAGCCTCCACCTGAGAGCCAGCCAGAGTGCAGAAAGGGGAGAACCAGGAAGGAAGCTCAGCCTTAACCTGAGAGCCAGCTGGTGTGTGGGCTGGGGATAAAAGGAACAGCACCTCCATCCCCCAAAGCAACTGCTGATTCAGAGGAACTGCATTGTTTGATTGACTTTGCAAATCTGAAGCTGGTAATCTGAGCAACTATGTAGAGGATAACAGTATGCAACACAGTAACTATTGTAGATTTCCTGCTGTCTTATCACTGTTTCATTTCATTTTATTGTTCTGTTTTATTTCCTTTAAAATAAAAATAAAAAAAATTAAATATCTCACTAAAATGACTTAAAAAATGAATCTGGGAAAGGGAAGTTATATATGGCTCCCTAGAAATAAATTTTAATCCAGTTTTCATCTAGCATATTTTAAAAACCCTTCTGAAATATTTGTTGATTTTTTTAAGCTCATTTGAAAATGCTTAAGGCCTTCCCAGTCTGGGGTAAATCTGGACACCAGAATATACTATTAAAACTATTTTAGGAAAAAAAATAAAACCTTTTGAGTGTGAGTTT